GTGCACAAATCCAAAACTGTGACCCGCCCAACACTGCGGATTCAAATGTGGACTGCAACAGCGGGAAGCTTCTGCACAGCAGCCATCCGCTGTTGGGGCCGAGCAGGTCCCTGTTGGGAGCAGCTGGAGCTGGATATCCATCATATGTGTGATGGTGGGACAGAGCCAGAGTGCCTCAGGCAGTCAAGCTACCTCAGTCTTGAGAAAAACATCCTGCCATGGGCTGGGGATGTAGCTCAGCGGTACAAGCGCCTGCCTAGCAAGTGCAAGATCCTGAGTTCGATTCCCAGTATCAAAAAAAAAAAAAAAAAAAAAAAAAGAAAAACATCCTGCCTGGACAATTTCAGTCGTTAGTTGCTAGGCAAACATGTCTGTCATGATACTAACTTTGCAAGAGTGTAAATAAACACCCCTACTGCTGTGCAAGTCCTCTTGCCCACCAGGTAAGAGGTCGGTCTCCTGTCTATCTTTTTCTCATATCTGCCGCTGGTCCTCCCTGGGAGATCCCCACTGGTGTGAGTCCGTCGTTTGTGTGTGTGACTGTGAGATGGCCCAGAGCGTCCTCACCACACCTGCACGCGCAGTCACCTGTTACAGAGACGGTGACATGTCCGTGTGTTGTGCTTGGCTGCCGAGGGCCAACTACAGGTCAGGGGTCACTCAGGCGCCTGCTTTGTGTCTGGAAGGTGGAAAGGACGATGCTGAATAAAAACCCAGGTTGCTCTTCAGTCTGTTGCAGAATACTGCCCACCGTACATATGTAATGCTCCATCCCTTCAAAATCCAAGTATTTCTTCTAAAACATCCCTGCCCTGCTCTTTCGCTCTTGATATTGGAGACTGAACGCAGGACCTTTGTATCGAGCTACATTCCAGGCCTTTTCACTTTTCATTTTTTTGAGTCAAGATCTCGCTAAGTTGCCCAGGCATGAGTTGAACTTGCTATCCTCCTGCCTCAGCCTCCCAAGGGCTGAGAGTACAGGTGTATGCACCACTATACCCAACTATACTGAATTATCTTCCAGTTAAAAAGGAGATAACTCAATTTTGCTGAATAAAAATAAAAAGCCTTCAAGTTGGATATGTGAAAAAAGTCAGGCTGCTAAAGTAGATGTATTGACATCCACATTTTATATTATCTTTGCCATCAGGGAAATAGTATTGCAAACGTCTCCATGTTTGTTCAGCCCTCAGGTGTCCGTTTCATCCCTCAGACTAAAAAGGATCTCAAGCTTGAGCCCAGCCTGGGCAACTTAGCAAGACTTTATCTCAAAAAATGCAGAAGGGGCCAGGGACGCGGTTCAGCATGAAGGCTGTGGGTTCAGTCCCCGGTCGCAGAACACAAACACAGCACAAGCACCGCTCAGCACAGGCTCCTGCAGCTTGCACTGGAGAGAGTGCTGCTTTTTCGAGAGAGCGGCTTCTCCCACATGGTGTTCACAGCTCACGTAATAAAATCACTGGGTTTTCTCTCGTACTCTGTCTCTTTTTAAAAGCAGGAATCCGTCAAAAGGAACAGAGTTGAGAAAATTTCTCCCCTTCAAATACATCAATGAGCCTCAAAACATGGAATTATTACAAATCACATTTGCGATCACAATACAAGGAATGAAGGGACTTAAAGATGAATAAGTACATAGAAAGATTCTGACCATCAGAAATTATACACATTTCCATCAAACAACTCCCAGTGAAAAGGAAATGCAAATGCAAATCACAAGATTTTAAAACAGAATTTAAGATGAACCTAAAATGTATATATTTATACACATTCAAACATATTTAAATATAAATATTGTCATGCACACACGTACATACATAATATCACAATCTATAGCATAAATTGACAATAGTGTGGAGAAATAAAACGGTGTTCTCCAGGAGACAGAGGAGTCTGATCTGGCTGGTCCTCTGGTGTCTCGGAGCTCTGCCAGGCAGCCGGCTGTGATACACAGTGATCGGGTATAACAGGCTTGTGGTCTGCGCCTGCCTCCTGGGACCACTCAGTCCAAGGCTTCGGGCCACACACGACGCCCTCACCCACACAGGGCCCGTCTCAAGTCCTCAAGGCCTCCAGTGGCTCTTGGTTGAGTCGCCTAGAGGGTGCCCACGCCCAGTGGGTAATGAAGGCAGGGTGAAGCTTGGTGTGTCTGCCTTTGTTTGACATTTGTCTCCTTTATCACCTTGTTGTGGTTCTATCTGGATGACAAAAAGCCTCACGCACTCAGAAGTGCGGCTTCGGGGAGGAGCCTGGACCGCGGGACTGGATCGCGGCTGTGTGACACTGGAGTCGTCGCCGATGGGTTCACAGCTGGGTGTGATGTCGGCAGGGCAGCCTGGTGGGAAGAGGTGGTCACCGTGAGCGTGGGCGGGAAGCTCACGGACTCCCCACTCCCCGACCCGCTCTCTGCTTCCTTCCCGCCACACGGTGGACTGTTTCTCCTCCCCCACTCCCCCTGCCTTGGAGCCAGCAGACTGTGGCCTGAAACCTCTATAAACTGTGGGCTAAAATAAACCTTTCTTTCTCTAACTTTGGGTGTCCAGAGCAACGAGAAAGTAATGAAGACAAGCCTTAACACTTTGGGCCAGGTTCCTGCCCAGCTCTGCACCTGGTCACATAAGCAGTGTCTGTCTGAGAATCGTTCACGCAAGGAGTCTTCCACACAGGTTTATCTAATCTGCCGAAGGCCTCTTCAGAACAGGGGACACCAAGGTGAGGTCCTCGGGGACACGCTGTCCTCCCGGAATGGGTGCCTAGAACTCCCCAGCCGTGGCCCCAGACCTGCAGCCACCTGCATGAGCCCAACAGGCAGCTCTTCTGAACTCTGCTGCTCACTACAGCCCAGCCTTCCCTGTCTGTGTGGCTTTGTCCTGAACACACGAAGAGCTAAGTCTGGAGCGGGCACAGATCCAAGGGGCTCCTTCTTACCCTTTCTCTGAGTGGTCGTTCAGTCAGCAGACATGTGTTAGAGCTGTGTGTTCACTTATCAGTGTCCTTTGTGAGTGTTTCAGAGTCCTGCTCATGTCTAAGCCCATGACAGTCATATGTGACATTTGTATGAATACAGGACCATAGTAATTTTAATCATGCATATGCACACATACTTACTAAAACACACTTAATACATTTACTTATGTTTTACAATACAAGAAAATCGTGTTTTCTTGTGCTTTACTGCACTTTCACATGGTACATTTTTCACAAACCAAGGGCCAGGCAGTTCAGAGGCAGACACAGTCCATGGGACTCTTCCTCCACAGAAGCAGAAGAATGCGCCGGGACATTCACACCTCGGGTCCTCGGCCTCGGAGCCTGGCAGCTGTCACAGATGTCATGCCTGATCATATGAAGCGTTCCAGCTGCACCACCACAGTCCCCAGGTACGGTTACACGCAGGCCAACCACACTCGCAGCCACACACGCCCCAGGCACACACGCACCCACTGCGGCTCTGCCCTGCAGGGGCAGGTTCCTGTGCAGACGCAGGCTGATGCTCCAGGCACACACCAGCCCATTCCTGGGGGCTCCGGCTTCTCAGCTTCCAAGCCCAGGGTCCGGGGCCCACCCGGTGGTGACTCCCCCGTGGAGAGCTCAGACAGCAGGTGTCGGCTTCGGGAGACCCCAGGGACCGTGAGGCCAGGAAGATCCCACGCAAAGACAAAGCCTGGGTTCTGGTGCCGGCTCCGGGACTGACGCCCAGCCTTGGAAGCCTGTGGGCCTCTTGGGGGAGGCTGCCTCCTTCAGAGAATGGCACAGCAGGACTCGACCCTCCGCGCCCAGGCAATCTGGACAAAAACCATTGCCAAGAAATGGGTTTATGCTGACGTTCCCTGGACCTCTTGGTCACACCTCCGTTCTACCAGGTGCTCAAAAGAATCTCCTAGACCTTGAAGGAGTGTGCTCAAGCACATACCCTGACGGAGGTGCGACGGACACGCTTCTGCGATCAGCAGTACTTGGATTTGCAATCAGCTCTGCCCCCACACGAGCTGTGTGACCTCGGTGTGTTATTAACGTCTCTTTCCTTCAGGTTGCACACAAAAGTGATGGTTATTGGTGAAACAGCTCACAAGAGCCAGGATTTTAGGCTGTGAGGGCCGTAACATCTGTTCTGCAGTTACCGGCCTCTGCCCCATGTAGCAGCCACAGACTACAGGCATGCACAACCAGCGCACAATCTAGGTCTCACACACGTGCACACGCTCGCTCACCGAAGCTTACACACGCACGCACTGTCAGGGTACACAGTTCACAGCACGCAAACACAAGACCGGGCTAGAAGGGGTCAGAAAAACACTTAAAGCGTTGCTGGCAGCTGGTGCTCTCCTTGGCAACGAATCCACGCCACACCCGCGCTTGCGCAGCGCTGCCCGAGGCGCTGACGGGCCGCGGCGCCTTCTGGGAAATGTAGTTCGGGGCCGCGCAATGTAGTCTCCGGCCTCCCAGTTGCACAGGACCCCACTCATGGCCGGGAGGGAGGGCCCTCGCCCCTCTCCGGGTCAGTTCACGTCCAGACCGGACGGACAGGAACCAGGGAGCCCGAGGCCCTCTGTCTGGGCGTGGCTCCCCGGCACGGCACGTCACGCCCCGAGGCTTCTGGGAGTTGCTGGCTAAATTCGCAGTGCGCACGCTCCTCCGGAGCGCGGCCGGTTCGAACCTGCTGAAACCTGCAGCGCAGGGTCCGGGGCTGCGGCTTCTGCGACGCGCGTGGAGGCCGGGGGGTGGGGGGGGGGGGGGGGGAGCCGTGGGGGTTGGATTTGGGTGAACAGATCAGAGTAGGTCTTGTCCGAGCGCGCACGGCGTCCTCTTGAAGGGTGAGAGGCCAGGGAGGCTCGCTGAGGAGCCACCTAGTTATGCACAGACCGGGACCTCCGCGGGCCGCTGTGCTCTGATAGCAGGAACCCAATCTATGCCGAGGGGGCGGGGCCTCGGCCGTGCAGGCAGTGCTACCTGTGAGCGCATGCACGTCGGGGCGGGGCCTCATGGTCCAGGCCCCGCCCTGGGGGTGGGGCCTCGAGCACCTACGTGTTGCGCTGTAAGGGGCGGGGCCCAGGGGCCGGGGTCTTCCAGACCCGCGGGCGGTCTGCGCCGCAGTGGACAGACCCTCGCTGACGCAGGGGCGGGACGGACGGTGAGTGTGGGCTCTGCGATCACCGCTGCCCAGGTCCCTGTGACCGCGCGGGGCGGCCGCGCGGACCTGCCCGGTGCTGCTCCGCAGAGCGGTGGGCCGCGCGCTCGCCTGGGTCGTGTGAGCGGTGTGAGCACCGCCGTCCCCGCGTGACAGCCTGCGAGGCCGTGTCGAAGGCGCGAGGGACGCGTTGAGGCCCGGGTGTGCAGCGGGTGTGTCATTCAGAGCCCAGGATGAGCGCGGCAGGGGCGCATTGCTGCTGGGTTTGTGTGTGTGTGACGGACCGGGCCCGGGGTCGCCAGGCGGCTGTGCCACCGTGTCCGCTCCGCGAGCGCGTGCCGGGGTCGCCCAGGAGATGCCGCGGTCATTGCCCCGCGAGCGCGTGCCGGGATCGCCCAGGAGATGCCGCGGTCATTGCCCCGCGAGCGCGTGCCAGGATCGCCCAGGAGATGCCGCGGTCATTGCCCCGCGAGCGCGTGCCGGGGTTGCCTGGGAGATGCCACCGTGGCTG